CTTAGCAGCATATCAACTTCTATGGGTTATTTATAATTCCGAAATCTAAATGTCTTGAAGGCAATCACATGCCTTTAACTACAGATAAAATATATTATTGGCCATTTTACTATAAATGTATTTTTATAGTTTCACAGAGTTTTATTTTTGTTTGGCGGTCACTATTTGCCCGTAGCTGGGCCCCTTGACAGGTGCAACCATCCCAGGTCAGGGTGGACCTAGTAACAACAGCAATTAAGAGGTGGTTCCACGCCCCTCTAAACCAATCAGAGGTTATGTTGCCAGATGTAGCTTATCATACCCATGACTCACTCCACATTAGTGCTTCAATATTATAAGAGGACAAATTTAGCCTGTATCAATTGATAAAGCACAGATGACAATTATTAAAAGTTTTCTGAGTATGTGTTTGCCCTCCACAGTGCCCAGCAGAAGTAAAAAACAAACTAATAATGTAGGAACTAGAAAATGAAGTCAGATCAGCAAATCTTTAAATTAACCAGGCACCTCATCAAGTAGTAATGGTTAATGAGCTAGCCTAGGTGAGCATTACTACAGAATGGTGAGTTTGAGCCACACTGGGTGCCCCATAGTTGTGCCAAATTAAGTAAAGCTTAGTAAAATAATTCTTAAAATTAAATTAACTACTTGTTTGATTGATTGATTCATTTTTTATGGCTTATCAACTCTTTGGAGGTTATCTAAAGATTGAAAATATTTTTAGATAGAGTTTTTTTTTTTTTTTATTTTTTTTTTTAAGATAATAATAGTTTAGTGACACAAGTCTTAGTAATTAGCCTAGAGAGAAGTGGGTGAATTCATACCTTTCTCAAGGGTATTTGTATGTAAATAAATATAACAAACCCAATGGGAATCGGAATTCAGTTTTCCAATTTTACAACACCCCCACATCCAAGCTTACAGCACCTGGTATTTCAAAGCAGTCACCTATCTAGTTACTGACTAGGCTTGAATTTGCTTAACTTTAGTGATTGTAAGGTAGCCTTTTTAGTCATTTCACCAAAGCAATAAAGTGTGAGCGAATATGAGAAAAAGAAAAAATGAAAAAGAACAAAAGATCTGGAATTAAGAAGACTGAAGATAACAATTGACATTGCTTTAAATATTTGAAGATCAAAGTTGACTAGAAATTAAGAAGCTGGAAGAGAGTTCCACAAGTGAAATGTCTGAGAGAAGAAACTGTTAGTATAGAACTTGCAGTTACATCTCGCAATTTCAACTGTAAAATAATGAGACCTTGCCAGTAGAAGCAATAATTGTCATGGACCCTTTAACAAGATATTTTACAAAGCATTTTTGTCCTGGGTCTTCTTACTCTGGCAGCAAATGTAATGGTGATTCAAGATTTTTCATGGCTGCTGATCAAGGTAGTGAAAACAATGATTGTCTTGGAGTGGTTGGCAAGATATCTTTCAAGAATTTTTTTTCAGTCTATCAGGATAATCTATCTATCTACCTGCTACCACAGGGTATATAAGACCAACACAGAACATTCCCACTCTGCACTGTCTGTTGCTGCCACTCATGCCTCACCCACAAGATCACATCCCTCTCTCATATCCTTCACTATAACGTCCTTGGTCTGTACCTTTTTTCTTTGGGGCCCAGGTCAGTGCCATGTTGCAGTTGTTGTTTGGGTCATGCCTTAAAGTATGGCCAATGAACCTGCATCTTTTTGGTGTATCTCAGCATGGAAAGGTTCTATGGGGGTATGCTAGAGTAGTTTTACTTTATTTTTTGACATGGCCTTGCCATCTCATCTTTAAGATCCTTCTTAAACTGCCATTATAATAAGCTGATTGTTTATGAGACGTCAATCAATAAGCTTGTCACTGCTCCAATTCATTTCTCAGGCTATCGGGATAATTTTTCAAGCTAATTCATAGATAATGAAGACAGTAATGACTGTTCTGAATCAGTTGAGATAATTTACAAATTGATATCACAAAGGCTTACAGCCTTGCCGTGCTTGGAGTGAAATGATTAAAAAAAAAAAAAAAAAAAAAATGCTTTTGTCATCATCTACAAATTGTCTTGAAACATGATCTGATTCACTGTTAGACTAAGAAAACATGGGACAAAGAAATATTTTGCAAGATTTCTTATCAGTCACTCTCAAGTAGTTGGGAATACAGTCACATCGTGTTGAAACACTAGTTCTCATACAATCACTGAAGTCAAGCAACCTGGTCAATACCTAGATAGGTAATTAATTGGGAATACTAAGTGTTGTAAGCTTAGATGTAAAAGGTGGGGCAATAGATAACTGCTCCAAATTGGAAATTGAAGAGACAGGTTCCAATTCCAGTTGGGTTTGTTATATTCCCTTACATATAAATACTCTGGAGTAAGGTATGAATTCACCTCTTCTACCCCAGCTATGGGTTAATTAGTAAAATTTGCATCAGTAAAATCATTATCTCCCAAAATTCTTACAATCAAAATATTTTTTTATGGCTTTAAATAACATGCAAAAGGTTGCTAAGCTGTAAAAAACAAATCAATCTACAATTGATATCAGAAAAACCTTGATTCAAATGTTTAGGAGAATAACACAAATATCAAAGTATACAAGTCAAAAATACACACACACATTGTTCTACAAGCATGTTGATGCCATTTTCATAGAAAATTTATGATTTTGTTGGAAGAAGGTTGTTTTTAACTGACTGTACAGAGTCAAATTTTTTGTCATTTTAATTGGCCTGGAACAAATGAAATTCTAAAAGAGCAAAGTTAAGAGAATATGATAGATGCTGGAGGGTTTCCCATTTCAACTCTTTAAGATTCTGCAAGGTCTGTTTTGCAACATGCAGTTTTGTGTTGTCCTAGTAAAAAATGGCATCTTTTCGATTTGCCAAAATCAGCCATTTTTCTTGAACCCAAGTCTCTTCAAATGGCAAAAGGCAGTTGAGATATTGATTTACAAACTCTTACCAATATCTTCTGTTGAAATCTTTGGTTTATTCTCCATCAGTTTGGTCATCTAGAGTGTGGTTGATTGTTTAGGTTAAAAATCACCCTGATGAAATCTGCCAAACCACTTTTTGACCATCCAAAGAGCTGGAGTATAAACCAGATAAACCTTCTGAATGTTTTTGTCGCAGTTCCAACACTTACTCCTTTCCGAAATTTATCAAACATTGTTGAACTCCTTCCTGGTTCCATGATTTCCAGTCAAATTTAATCTGCAAAAATTAAATGCAATGTCAATCGCTATGTACTGTCTTCCCAATTACTCTTTTCTCTTTCTTTTCCTTATTAAAATTTCTTTTCCTAATTCTTCCACATGCAGTAACCCCCTTGTGTCTTGGTGACTTTAATGTTTTGCTTGGAGTGAAACTGATTTAAAATAAAAATAATAATATGTCAATTGTGCAAAATTTCATCCTCCATCATTAAGGCATTCACATGTGGACAAAACATCAACAAAGTCTGACTCGCAACCAAACGATGCAAGATTTCAATCTAGAACATACCAGAAATTGGCACCAAAACAAATGCCAGTGTGAAGTTGCAGTCATTTTATATTAAAAAACGAAAATAGCGCACAAACTTTTGCAATGGTCTGATATAAAATTCAAAAAGTTCTTATTTTTATTTTGGCAAAATATGTGATTTGTATTAAATAAAATTACAGACGTCTATAAAATCTTCCTCAATGAATACAACTCGGGTTTATATCTGATATAAAATTCAAATTAATCACATACCTACATGCACACTATTAAATTAGAACTCTAATTTTTTTAAAAAACCATATCTCTTCAGGAATTATAGCTGACCACAATGCAACAAGTGAATTACCAAAACTATTTTTGCAAAAGATAAGTGGTTCCCTACTGATTTGTCCATAGTTTTGAATCCAAAGCTGATCTTCTAGACCAGGAATGGGAAAAACTACAGTCTACAAGCAGCCTAACTTCTGAATTTCTGAATTTCAAAAGGAAAATAACATTTAATAAAATCTGGTTTGCTTCCTTTTGTTCTCACTTGTTCACTCACACACTCTCATGCATAACCACATACCTAAACAATGATTAAGTTCAATGTTTCTTGAATTTTGTAACTTTTTGTTGAAGGTATTTTAAACTGTTGCCAATTTTCACTAAAGAAGGTCATACATCTAAATATCTTTTGCTTCAGAAGCAAGAAACATCAATAATTATTTTTATCTAGAGAATAAATATACTTCATTTACAAATATTTTTGCATACTCAAAATGATAATTTAGAAACAAATCACATGCAGCAGCAGCATGTGTTAATCACACTGTCATCAGGGATAATACATGATATCCCTCCAAAAATTGACATCATTTAAAATGCAAATATCTGAGTAACTACAAAGTCTCAGGTAAACAAATTTAAATAGACTGTGTTAAACAATAAAAGATTTAATTATCAAAATTCAAGCAAGATATTCAAAAGGGATGAAGATCTTATAACCGATTTCACAATGCTTCACAAATATTCAATATGTGCACCACCTGTGACATGATACATATCAAGTCAGTAGTCCAGCTCTTGCCAAACACACTGTAGCATGTTTTGCGTAACATTCTCCAGCACCTCAATGAGAATCTACCAGGAAGATGGATTGAGTATGCCAGTGATAATGACAATGTTTCTCAAATGTGCAAACACATTTATTAAATAAAAATGGGGTGTCTATTTTAAATACAAAGTAGACACTCTAATCCTGTATGAAGTATTATAGACATGCATACAAATGCATATTCATACAAGTAAACACACAAAAACACTTTCATAGATGAACATTAATACACACTAAGGCAAATGGTAAACTTATAAATGCGTAATATAAGACTGGCAAAAAAAATTGTCTAATGACATAGTGAACTAACTTTCCTAGCAGCAGATCTAGCAATTGATTCAATATAATCTTTTCACTTCATGTCAGTGCAAAACATTAGCCTGAGAAGGTGTAATTCAGATCAATCATAAAAGAAGTTCAAGCTTACAGCACCTGATATTTCAAAATGGTCACTCATCTAGGTACTGATCAGGCTCAATGTTGCTTGACTTCAGTGATCATAATGGAACTAGTGTTTCAACATAAAATATATGAGGGTAAGTCATAAAGCATCTGCACCGCACTCTTGTCTAAAGATATGTTATAACAAAAGTGTGGATAATTTTTGACTTACATAGAAAATAAGTCAAAATTAAACAACCATGAAAAACTTGTACACAAGAAGCAGGAGGAAACCATTCTATATGTGAGACATGTTTTTTTACTAGCTTAAAAGCCGCCCAATTAGGCGTCATTTAAGCTAGCTCCTGTGGAGGCTTCTTGATTGGTCCTTTGGCTTGTTCAGGAATTTGAGAGTTCCTAAGTTTTTGCATATTCTCAGCATTGGAAGCTCTCCTGGTTGCCGTTTAATCTGGGTTTTCATTTGCATGGGACTTTCTTTGCCTCACTGTAGCCTTGGCTCTATCGATTGCAATCTGGTCCTCTGTTGGCGGAGATTTCTTTTTGTGAGGCAATCTACTGCCGCATGTCATAAGCATCAATAAACTACAAAAGAACTTAAAATTGATCTCTGCATTTAAATATTGCATTAATATTTCAGCTTACCTTTTAAAAGTTCAATGATAATTCTTCTGCTGCCACTTAATTTAAAGACAATTTGATGTACATCGGTCTTTATTTTCTGTACAAACAATTATTTTTATTTCATGGGTGACTTTTGCTGGATTTTGCAATTAATTTTGATGATTTTCAAATTAATTTTCAAGTTATATAAATTGTTATCGTACAAAAAATTTGTCACAAAAAAGAAAAAAAAGAAAGTAAAAAAAAAAAGAAATAATAATAATCATCAAAAACAATCTGTTATGAAAACTTGGGAATCCAAATTTTCTGGATCTAGCCCAGAATGTTTTTAATTTGCTCACAGAGTCGGCCTGATTCCAAAATGGTATGATATGTTGGGCTACAGTCTCTAGGAGTAAAGTTTAAAAACTGTGACACACTGAAAGTCACATTTATTTATATAGAAGAAGGTGAGTTATTGAAAGTTAGTGAGTTGTCTCCCTTTAATTGAAAAAATTGTGACACATTGACATTCATATTTATTTGTATAGATGAATATATTTTTTACTATTATCCTCATCTTTTTTTGCCTTGTTCTAGTTAGTGTGCTCTCCTGTCTTCAACAGGTCTCTCTCAATCTGGGTAAGCTTCAGGGAATTTCAAACTGAACGCTTTATTTAATCTAGGGGTAGTTAGTTTTCATCCTTGCTAACCATGTCTAGGGATATCTCGCCTAGTTCTTATTTAGTACTGCTTATTGTTTGTCTCATTTTCACAGAGTTCAAATACACACAGCCAGTCCCAGGGATTGAACTCGTAATTATTATGTCACCAAATTCACAAACCAATGCTTTTATACACAAGGCTATTATACCATGGCCGCTAGAGGAGATATCCCAGGGGAACAAAAACAATCTACTCATCTAGATTAAATTAGAAATTCCCTGAAGATTACCTGGATTGACAAGCACTTAGAGGACACAACAACCAAAAGGCTACAATGATAACATCAAAGGTGTGGACAACAGTCTGCATATAAATGAATATTTTCAATGGATTAATTATTTTTTTTTTTTTTTAACAGTGACAAAAGTATTGTTACCAAATTATATACTTTTGTCACTATTATTATTATTTTTTAACCAGTGTTTTTCCTCAACCCACTTTTGTTGCTAATTCTTCATTTCTGATCCACATTGTTTTTTAATGTCCATAAAAGGGCAGTCTGGGAGGTGTGATAAAAGCAAAAGAAGCAGGATTAGAAAAAGACTGACCAAAATCTACTAACACTGACAAATATATATGTAGACAGTTGCATTTAATAAATTTATTATACTCTTCCCTTTCTTTATGCCTTTAAACTTTTTGCTACTTCAAATTTTAATGTTTGTATTGGGATGTTAGATAGATGCAGACAGACAGATGGATACAGATAGTTTTTAATAAATATACATTTTTTTTTCCTTACTGAGGTGCTGAATTGAAACTGACCATTACTTAATTATACAATGGTCAGTTTCAATTCATCACCTGAAGATTGCATTGTGCATGAAACTCCAAGTGAAAGAGGCAATTCATCTGAAAAGCCCTCACTTGTGATACAGTATAACTATATAACATGACAATGCTCACTCCCACATCACTAACATGATCAAACATGCAATTAAAGAGTTCAGTTTGAAGGGGGGGTGTTCTGCTACACCCACCATATTCTCCTGAGTTAGCCCCTTTAGACTACCACCTTTTTCAGTTGCTTTCTAACAATTTCCTGGGGTGTTTTGCTTAACAATGTGGAGCTTGAAATGTAGCTTGATGAATTTTTTGAGTCAAATCAGTGATTTCTATTGTTGTTGGTAGGAAGTTTTAAACAATGAAGAGGAATACATTGTTGAATGATTCATCAGAAATATTAATAAATAATATGTATTAGAATAAATTGCAAAAGAAAATGAATTAATTTATATAACAACCTAATATCATCATGAATTTTATTATGAGATGACAGTTGTCAATTACTGATGATTTTTTTTTAATAGCATTTCTTTCATCTTATTTCTCTTGCTTATTACATTAGTAGTATTAGTAGTAATATTTTCTTGAATTTTATTATTAGATAAAAGCATCGTCAAGCATTATTCATTTTTGACTAGGATGTCTTTCATTTTAATTTCACTTGCTTTTTATTACATTAGTAGTATTAGTAGTAATATCATCTTGAATTTTATTATTAGATAAAAGAATTGTCAAGCATTATTCATTTTTCATTTTAATTTCATTTTTTTTACATTAAATTTCAATATGCCTTTTTATTGCAACTAAAAAAGCATTATTCAAGGAATGAAATGGTATCTGAAGATGAACAAAAATGCAACTGAAATGGTTAAGACAAAAAGAACTGAAATTAAAAAAAGAAATGAAAAAATTAATAATAATTCTAATTTTTGTACTTCCAGCGATGAATACAGTTTTGAAGTATTAAAAAAAAAAAAAAAACTTTCCTTAGGTTTTTTTTCAAATTCTTTTTCTATTTTATGGTGCTTCTTTCTTTCTTTTTCTAAAAGAAAACAAACCCTCGGTCATGATGACTTGTGACTTCATGCTTGCACAACCATCAATGTCTTCTGAACAGTTTTGTCTACTAAATTTCAGTTATAAGGTTTGGGTCCACTCATGGTATGGTTTTCAGTCACTTCCAGATGTTCAGACAAGTTACATTCCTTAGTGCCACTAGCTTGGACTGCCATGTTGTATGGTAGCAAACAGTCACCATTCCCTTCATGTTTCTTTGATAAAAAGCAAATTCCACTCAGACATATTTTCTTCCACAAAATTGTTACTTCGTGGAACAAAGTCCAGAGAGAATGCTTCCCTGACAGCCAATATCTATCCTACTTGTTCTCTTAATAATACCCTTCTCTCCCTTTCAATCTCACTCAGTAACCCTCTACCCTAAGTGGCACTTGGGTCTTGAATTGGATGAACTATCAGTAAAAAAGCAAAAAAACAAAAAAAAAAACTTCCTAACAATGCTGCATGCTAAGATTGTCTTCCCAAGCCGATGTTATCAATGAGTCACTTCCTCATCAAATCGACCCTAGTGAGATTCGAACCAGGGTCTCGTGATTGGAACGCTATACAAAAATCACAGTTTTTTTTTTTTTTTTTTTTTTTTTAATACCAATGGCAAACTTAAAAACTGATTTTAATTAATTGTTTTTTGTTTTTTTTTTTTATTGGTCTCTAAATACGTTTTTAAAATGTTGATATATTTTATAAAAGCAAAAGTCGTTATTCGAGCAGTACTGAGGGGTGTTACTGTTGCTTAGAAATCGAGATGGCCATCCTTTCTAACTGTTAAACAAGAAAGGGTTGGACAGCAAATCTGGAAAATTAAACTGGATTTCACTTTATTTTAACAATGAAAATCTTTCCACTTATATTTATACTATTTTTTTTTGTTTGTTTGTTTTTTTAAGATATTTGTTTACCACAAGGTCAGATTCGTGGAGCATTGAATTAGGATCGAACTTAAAACGAAACGTCATGTGAAACTTACACGCTTATCACTTGGATATCTACAATTAACAACAGATGTTTAGTACTTTTTGTAAATGAAGAGATTTTCTCAAGGTTAATAATAATGAATCATTTTCGATAAAGGATTTTTTTTTTAATCAAGAAAAACATTTTCATGTCTGTTATGACAAATTTAAAAATTAAAATAAATCCCGTTCTAGATTTTCAACTCAACATGTTTTTATTTGTATTATTTTCAATACAAAAACAACTCCCTATCATAAATTACACCTCGTCAATATGAACATATAATAATGAATTAAAAATTTTATTAAATCGTTATTTATATAAATAGCTAAATATATAAACATTAACATAAAAAAACGTTGACATCTTTTTAATGACAAGGACATTGATCTGTAAGTAATCGAATCCCTTAATAAAGGAATGAACTTTTTCCTTTATCAAATCGGTTGAATAATAAATTTCGTGGCTTCTTGACTTTATTCAATCAATGTATTGTAATATATATATATTTTGCAAATCAATTAAAGTTGTTTTTTGAAATACTCTTCTTTTTTTTTTTACTTACTACATAAAAAATAATAATTTTAAAATTAATTAATTAAAAAAGAATCAATGATAAAAGGCTAAAGCAATTCTGACATAAAAAGAAAGTGCTTTCGTTTCTTAAAGAAAATGATAGTTATATTGTTTAAAGCTGTTATAAGAAATAATAATAAAAAAAAAACAAACACTAAGTACAGATGATATAAAAAATGAATCTATCTATCATTGTAAAATAAATGTATTGTAAAATTACTTAATATTATTATTAAGTAATAATAATCTCTTATGCAATTTCTGTAAAAAGTGAAAAGCTTACTCGATGTAGACATTTAGCAATAAAACTGTAAAATAAGCATTATTATTAAATTGATTAATAAGAAAATAGATAATTATACGATCATCGAACGATTTAGCATTTTTTTGACTAAATAACTTTTGGGTAAGCACCATTGACAGGACACTTTCACTTTTCAAGATGCACGAAAAATGAAATGAAAAAAATATGAAATTATTAAAAGATTTTTTATAATTATTTACTTATTTTTTTTAATAACAAATTAAAAAATACAGTTTTAAAAAAAGCTAATAAACACGTGACTGTTTAATTTGTGAATGAAAAATTAGAGTTGTTTAAAAGAAAAAAAAACTATTACAAAGTAAGGCAAAAAAGTATATTTATTAATAATTCAAGTATAAAATTTAAAACTATAAATAAATATATAATAATTCAATCCAAGTAAAACTGACAATTGTTGACCATAAATCTTTTAGTCGGATCCTTTCTCTACAAAAACTGATTTCATTTTCAGAAAAGGGAAGAATTTTATAAAGAAAAAAGGCAAATTATATACACAAAAGGTTATTTTTAAAAAAAAAAGCTGACTCCAACCGAATAAGTGAAGCAAATGACTATCAAGAATAAGAAAAAAAACCCGCTACTTCTGTATACTACTAAAATAGTCCCTTAAAAAAAACTACTACGAATAATAATAAAATATAGTGAATGACTAATGCCATTCATAAAAGACTTCTTCTTCATCAGATGAAAAAGAAAAGATAAAAACAACCCCTAACATTGGACAAACATAACAAATAAATAAAAAAAATAATCTCACAGACCTTACATGATACTTGGTAGATTGTAAAGCCTTTGATGTGTTTCACTGGATTTGTTACTTCAAAACACCAAATTTTTTCATCTGTCGTCAGCGGTCTGCTTGTCGCCATTGCAATTTCTCTTCTGAGTCTTCAGCAAAATGTTTACCGGGTGAGACCATTTTTACGAATATCGTACACTGTTATCAATAAAAATTAGTAGCTAATCGCTTAAATAATATTTTTTAAAAATAAATAAATTATAAATCAGAAAATGTCTGCTTGTATTATCATTTTTAATTATATCTTTCATTGATTATACGAAACGTACAGCTAGCATGGTTTTTATTTTTTTGGTCATGACCGGGAAGAAGTGAGTCTTTTTCTAACGACGTAAAGCATTTTTAAGACTAGACAAGAAATACTTATGGGTCTTCTTACGATATTGAAGAAAATGAAACAGAAAGAAAAAGAAATGCGGATTTTAATGCTGTATCCTTTTTATTGAATCAATTATTATTTGTCAGAACTTCATGTTTTTTATTTTTTTTTTATTGACAATGACATTTCAATTCATCCATAAAATTTTATTTTTAAATTTTTCTTTTTTTAATTAATTTTGATTTTAATGTTCGATTATTTTTTAATTTGTAAAATTAAAAAATGAACTCGTTTCTTCTTTTAAGATTCTTGCAGAAATGTTTAAAAAACTGATAACCTTCTTCAAAAGGCAAAATTTTCAATTAAATTTGTAATTTAAACTTCTAAACTTAATTTTTTGTATTTTTTAAATATTTTATTCACTTAACTCTTTAAAATTTAAATAAATCATTAATAATTAATAATTTATGCTCTTTCTTTTTTTTCTTCATCAATCAAAAATTTAATTTATTTGGAAGAAGCAACTGTAATAATTTTAAAACTTAACAATTTTTAAATTTTAATATTTTTTTAGTAATTAATTATTTTATTTAATGAGGTTTCAATTTGAAAAAAGAAACTATTACAGACTAAAAAAAAAATAAAAAATGTATTTAGATTTTAGAGATTGAAACAAAAATGTATTTAATAAGCTGGTAACTTATTTTTTTAAGCAAAACAACCTAGTTCACCCATTTTTTTTTTTTTTGTCACATCTCTTCAGAACGGAGGCGATCATATCTCTCCATAGCTTCCTTTCCTTTAATAATCCATGTGAATTGCTTGCCATATCTCCTTGGGAATGAGAGTGGTTTCCCGTTGTTTTAGAATTCAGAGTCGTTGTCTTCGGAGACATCCTCACGCCCACACCAACGGAACGTGACACAAGAAGGTCAAACTTAAAGTGGGATCCCACGCGTACTACATGGGCTAGATACAAAAATCCCTCAAGCTCATTCGGAACTTCCCCTTTTAAGGGCACTTCAGACGCCAAGTAATGAAGCTAGCTCCCTCCAAAAGAAACGGTATTGCCTTGAGGAAATGTCACTGAATTCAGCTCAAGGCTAGAGAGCCTTGTCTACACTGTTATTTAACTCATAGTTAGAGTGGGGGATATAAATTGATTTATGCCTTTTCCAAGAGTATCAGTGTGAAAGTGAAAGCAACCTAGCTTATGAATACTCGGAGTGAGGAATTTGAGTGTGGATAACGCCAATCTCCGTAATTAACTCAGAGTTTAAAGTAAACTCAAATGTATTTATTTAAACTTTGTTTTAATTATTTTTTGTCTAAAAATACATAGTTTTATTTCATTTTATTTTAAGTGTCAGTTGTTTTTTTTACAATCATAGTATTGTCATCTTTTTTTAAATTTTTTTTAATGATTTTAAAAAATTAACATGACTCTCCACAGATTCTTTTTTTTTTTTTTTTTTTTTTTTGATTATTTATGAATTATTATGACTTGAAAAAGATGGTGAAATGGTTTACCAGATGCCTTCTCTAGGATTTTAAATTCAAAGTTGTCTTTTTCCTAAACAAAAACATAGGCTAGAGAACCTAGTCTTTAGCTGATGAAGAAATATGTTCATACCATTTAACAGAACAAAGCTTTAACCAGCATTGAAAAACTTGAAATTTGAATTGGTGAATAAAATTCAGATTTTGATTAAGATCTCTTTTATTCAGCACAAACTAATGTACTTAGAAAAGGCATGACACCACTTCTCCCTGGGCTCAATTCCAGTGTCAGCTAATTTGACATTTGAAAATTTTTGATTTAATTAAATTCAAACTTCCACAAAAGAAATAAGTGTCAGTTTTACTTCTATTTTAAAAAGATATTTTATCTACTTACTAACTCTTTAAATATATTGTATCATTAATATACACGCTCTTACTTCATCAATCCAAAATTTATCTTATTTGGAAGAAACAACTATATAAAGATTTTAAGTCCAACTCTAGGGCCTTCTAACTCCTTTTGGAGGAACCCCTCCCCTGTTTACTTCTACCAGTTCCTATCTTTGGCTATACAGGGTTATGTGAGGATGAGATATCATGTCAGATCTTGCTTTTGGTCACCCTCTTGTTCTTTTCCACTGCCTTGGTGTCAACTCTAATAGTCTACATGTTGTCTCTGTTTTTGTCTTTCTTGATGGCCTTGATTATCCTTCACTCCAATCTGCTGGTGTTGCTCCTCCTGTCACATAAGCTGATGCTGATCATGAATTTGCTCCTTTTTACATTGAACTACTACAAGAGTCTCTGCAGTTGTGGTGGTGTTCAGCAACCAATGTCTCACTTTCATAAGTGATCACTGGCAGAACATATTAAACAACTTTCTCTTGTTTTTTTTTTTGTTGAGTTGGGGCATAACATAATTTTAAGTAATAATTTAAATTTTAGTTATTTAATGTTTCAGTTTGAAAAACACTATATAGTCTAATTAAAAAGCTTAGTATTAACTTGTTATATGCTGTACTTATGAACACTAATGGGTATGTCCCAATCCTCATAAATACATTATACACTATTGTAAGTGGAGGGTAATATGCTAAATAGTCCACTACTGGCAAGTATTGTATTTTGTTGATGTTATAAAGATTACCATTTCATTTCCAACCTCGTCATTCAGTAACCCTTTTTAGGTTACAACATAACTGAAATTATAACGAATGATAATATGTTTAATAAGCTGGTAACTTATTTTTTATGCAAAATAACCTAGTTCCTCTATTCTTTTTCTTTGGCCATATCCCTTCAGAATGGAAGCAGTCATGTCTCTCCATAGCTTCTTTTCCTTCAATCTGTGTGAATTGCCACAACTTCTTTGGATTTTTTATTAAAGCTGTGTAGTTTAAATGAAGGAAGAAGGAGAGAGGAGGAGTGAGGGAGAAAATAAAGCGTTGACAGGTGATTTCATTTATAGAAAGATATTATGGCAAACTGTGGAAAAAGACAAATTATGGGAAGGAATGAATGAAGGAAGAAAGGAAGGAAAACTATAAAACTCAACTGAAAATAGGAGTCAGCAATTTTGTTCATTTCATACAAAAAATGCTTTGAAAGAGAGGAAGGAGATTTGAGAGTAAAGAAGGAAGAGAGAAATCCTGGGAGAAGGAAGGAAGAGAGAAATCCTGGGAGAAGGAAGGAAGAGAGAAATCCTGGGAGAAGCTTTTTTTTTTAATTTTTATTTTAAGCTTTCAAACCACAGGATGCTTATATTGAGTACAAACTAATGTTCTTGGGAAAGGCATGACACCATTTCTCCCTGTGCTTAATCCCAGTACCAGATAATTTGACATAATGTCTATTCATTGACATGCTGCAATAGTCAATAGAAAACAAATTGGGACAGTAAACCACTCTCCAATCTTACCTTCAAGAATGGGGGGAAATTATGATTGTCCATATCTGGATGATGGCTGTTATCATTGCCCATATTTGTGTGATAGGCTTTTGCTGCTTCTTAGAGGAATTTGTCTCAGAAATTCAGAAAATATTAGATCAAAATATGTCCTATAAAACAAATTCTAATGAAAAAAAATACTAATTTCTATTGCTAATCACTACTGAATAATTCACTGTCTGGATTAGGCAGTGGAGGTAAAAGTTGATAAAAATAAAAAAGTTCTAAATGAAATCAGCTAATTACACACATTAAAAAAAAATTTTAAATTTTAAATTTCCAACATCTCTTGTTTTTTTTGTGCATTTTTAGTCACATCAATGTAAACAAACTTAGTCTGATGAAGTCCTAAATGATGAAATGTGTCACATGAAAACCTTTCCACTTTGTCATATATATATATGTATGTGTGTGTGTACTACTAAAGAACCAATGATGTTGATGTAACCAACAGGCAACTTGCCAGACAACCTAGCACCTTAGACAAGGAAAAATCCCAAACAAGGAAAGAAAAATTAGAAAAAAGACCAAAAGACAAACACTAACTATGCAGTAAAGTGCACAGACGGAGCAAAAAAAAACACTTCAGAATGTCAGCAGTTAACGAAGGACAGCTTGAGTTGTTACTCAATTTTCGCACTCTTATGATCTTCAGACAATTAGAACTATACACATAGACACAGGAACACACACACATATATATATAGCTTCTCACCGGTAGCATGACTTTCATGCACAATGCACTCTTCAGGTGTTTAGTAGAGACTACTCAGCATCTGAAGATTTCTTTGTGCATGAAACTCTTGAGTTATACAACCGATAAGGAGTAATATGTATATTTATTTATTAATATATGATTAATGGTTCTGTTATATTGCATCAAGATAATAACACCAGCACTCAATGTGCAATATCTTATATATATTGTATGACAAAGTGGGAAAAAGTTTACTTGTGACATGTTTTGGCCTTCAGAAGAAAACTTTTTCCATTTTGTCATACAATTTCCACAATACTGTTCTTGATATATAAAAATATATATCATTATCTCATGTATGTATGTATGTATGTATATATATATATATATATATATATATATATATATATATATATATATATATACACACACACACAAACACATAGGTGCAATTTTTTGCCACATGGAAGAATTCAGTGATACATCTGTGCTCTGTACACTTTCAACTTAAATGCTATTTTTCCTGAGTGTTATGGATTACTGGCAGGAAGCTTCAACCCCTACTGCTATGTCATCAGCATCCTCTTAACGAAGCCCCAGTGTGTCGTCAATGGCAATTTATTCATCTTTTCTATTTAATTTTATCAAAATTTATATTTACATTTTTGTTCCTACAGTTTGTATTTGTAATTATTTCTTTAACTTTACTAAAAGTGGATTAGATAATGCAGGGAAGACCACAGTCCTGAAGAAATTTAATGGCGAGGACATAGACACAATATCACCGACACTTGGGTTTAATATTAAAACTTTAGAACATTTAAGGTTGGTATATATTTATATATTCTGTCTTTATTTTCAGTGATAAATGGAAAAAAAAATAAAATTTCACTATTTTCAAATTTTAAATGACACTCTTGAAATGTTTCTATTTTGTATTATGATATAACGAATAAGAAATTGTCTTTATTCTTATTCATGCTTTTATATATCTTCGACTAATAGCTAAAGTAATTATGTGTCTCTCAATAATTATTGTTAGGTATATTTATTCCAGCCTCCCCACTGAGATGAGATGTAACACAAGGTTAGGTTTAATGTGTTTAAACTTGGGCTAAGGACAAAAATTGCCCAGATTCCACAAATGTTGGATGTGCTGGCATGACTACCCTCTCTCTATTGCAATGGGGGTGGTGCAGCCACAGGTGGCTGTTCCCTGGAGCTGGGCACCTCACATTATTTTTCCTCAGCAGCATCTCTGTCCACAGACAGAGCCACAAATGAGTTGCACTCTGTCTGAAGACAGAGATGCAACTGAGAGATAATAAACCCAGCCCGGCACGATTATTGTTAGGGTTCAAATAATTTAAAGGATTATGCAAATTACATTTGGAGATACCAAAATCAAGCATGTACAACAAATTTAAATATCTGGAAAGTTGTTTTTCTTGTTTGTCTTTTTGTTTTTTTAATCATTTCACTCTAAGCAAAGCAATAAAGCCACTAAGATGCAAGTGATTATTGAGTGTGAGAGAATATGAGAAAATAAACACTGTTAAGAAGAGAGAACAATAAAAGAACAGGAATTAAGAAGACATTAGATAACAGTTGACCTTGAATCAGCATAGAACTTAAAGTTACATCTAACCATTTCCACTGTAAAATGATGAGACTTTGCCACTAATCTGCGCTTAAATTCATAAAGGAGAGGAAATTTTATCAGAACAATTACCAACGGCACAAGAAATCTGCATTATGGTGGTGGGTAGGTGACTGAAGGACCAATAACAATTCAGATTCTTCTTTACCTTTTATCAAGAATCTCTAGATACATAACAGGAGCACAAGTCCAGATATGGCAACAATATTCAAAGCAAATATAAAGGGAAAGGGACTGAAGCTGAGATGCCAAGTCAGGACCAATAACATTGCAGATTCTTCTTTGTATTTTATCAAGAATCTCTAAGTACATAACAGGAGCACCAGTCCAGATATGGCAGCAATATTCAAAGCAAATATAAAGGGAAAGGGACTGAAGCTGAGATGCCAAGTCAGGACCAATAACATTGCAGATTCTTCTTTGCATTTTATCAAGAATCTCTAAGTACATAACAGGAGCACTAGTCCAGATATGGCAACAATATTCAAAGCAAATATAAAGGGAAAGGGACTGAAGCTGAGATGCCAAGTCAGGACCAATAACATTGCAGATTCTTCTTTGCATTTTATCAAGAATCTCTAAGTACATAACAGGAGCACTAGTCCAGATATGGCAGCAATATTCAAAGCAAATATAAAGGGAAAGGGACTGAAGCTGAGATGCCAAGTCAGGACCAATAACATTTCAGATTCTTCTTTGTATTTCATCAAGAATCTCTAAGTACATAACAGGAGCACCAGTCCAGATATGGCAGCAATATTCAAAGCAAATATAAAGGAAAAGGGATTGAAGCCAAGATGCCAAGTTAGGATCAATAACATTGCAGGGGATGGTGAGTTGGTGACTGAAGGTCCAATAACAATTCAGATTCTTCTTTGCCTTTTATCAAGAATCTCTAAGTACTTAACAGGGGCACCAGATCAGATGTGGCAGAAATAGTCAAAGCAAGGACAAATAGTACACTTATAAATTAAGATGGATTCAGGTGAGAAAAATTGTCTAGCATAACATAATTAACCAACTTTCTTAGTAGCAGACCTAACATGTAATATAAGCCAAGAAGATGCAATGTTTCTCTCCTTCGAGGTTAGCATCAGGCATGCTGATGGAAGGCAAAAAGGGTTCTTTAAGACTACTAAAAGAGAGTGGTTTCATTTAGGAGGTATTAAAATTAACAAGCCCTTCCTTACTCCAGTTAATAACTGATTGTAATTTATTTTCAAGATCAGCTGCCAATTTGACCATATCGGACTGATCAGATGTATTATTAAGAAAGGAGTAAATAGTTGACATCAGGAAGACGTTTGATGAAAATTATTAACAACATATGTCCAAGAGAACACCTGCATTAATGTAAAAAGATCAAGAAGAGTGGCCATTGAAGACAACTTTCATTTCACGATTTGATAAAGTCTGAATTGGTTCAAAAATTCATCCAGAAATATCATAACCTTTCAAATAACTTTCGACATATCCAAAACCACAACCCGAGCTTCACCATTCTTATCTAAAGCTTGATAGACTCTTTCAGCAATAATCATTAATACATCAGCAGTTGACCTAGAGAAGCGAAAGCTATATTGCTTATCTGAAAGAAGACCCTGAGACATGAGATGCTTAACCAATTCAGAATCTAGTACTTTTCCATAAGGCATTTATTGTAGACTTTAGAATAGGAGCCAGTTCAGGTGTACATTTCTTAAGGACTATTGGAGGGATACTATCAAGTTCACGTGCTTTGTGGGGATCCAGTTTAGAGATGATATCAGAAACCATGGATGGAGTTGTATGCATGTCACTTTATCGAGACTCAGTTCTGTGAAAGGTCAGAGAAAAATACTCCAGATGAGTCAAGAGTAGTATTTGAAGAGACTTTATGAGATAAAAATTTCTGCTTTATCAGCGTAAGTGTGACATAAAATTCAAATGGGCACCATGATAGTGAAATCTACCTTCCAAAAGCTAAGCAAGTATTAAGAAACACACAAAATTTTGTTCCTCCTATATGGTAGTGAATGCTGGGAAATCTTCTCAGATGAAGAAGAGACTTGAAGCAACAGAAATGTGGTTCTACAGAAGAATGCTGAGAATACCATGGACTGAATTTGTGAGCAATGACAGTTTTAGAGAAAATGGAAACAAAAAGGACATTTGTATTGAGAATCAGTTGAAATTTCTTGAGCACATAATGAGGAAAATGGGCTTGAAGAATTTGATACCTACAGGACAGATTGAAGGCAAGAGAAACAGAGGAAAAGAGTGGATAACCTACTTAGAGAGCTTGTATCAATGAATGGCAGAACAGGGATTAGGAGAGATAGCAAAAAGATAAGATTACTAAGAGCTACAAAGGAGAGGAAATTGTGAATAACCATGATCACCTGTTCTGAAGCGTCATGGCACATAGAAGATTTTTCAAGGCATGCTGATTCCCCCCACATACACACACACACACACACACATTTGGTGTAATACAACCCACTACAACCTGCTGTATGATCAGATCATGGGTGACTAAACCAGTTTCTGTGCCAGGATTAAAAACAAGACCTGTTAAAAGAGTGGAGGGGTAGATTTGACTTCATAGATATGCATCCAACCAGTGCAATGATGTCATGGCATCAATTGGTGGAGGGCTTCCTTGATTGAAACTAATGGCCAGGGCAGAGGATTCTCATGATGAAATCAACAGCCATGGTGTGCATGAACGAAACTAGCCTTCAAGAGAACATCGGCTATAGTTTAACCTGGAGAGGGACGGGCTTTGCCAGGTCTGAATGCGTATGTGCAGGGAACTGGTCAGATGCACAGCATCCTTACGACCATGTCTAGTAATCAGACTGATGATGATGATGAATCTGTCCCTACCCACATTTCTGCACATGCTGAACTTGGTACATTAACCCTACATGTGCTGAATCAGATATCAACTGTTGAAAAAAAAGTTAGTCATTTTTCCCATGTATCTGTCTATATTTCTGAGGTGAAGTATTGTAATTATTTACACTATTTACCTCAAGAACACATGGCCCAGTGTTGGCTGCATCCAGTGACTTTACCCAAAGAGTTGTGAGTTCAATACCTGGCTACAGCAGAGGTGAACAAAAACTTGGAGACTTGAGTTAAATGGAGAAAACTGATACTGAAACATCTGGAAGAGGCATAGCTCATGTGACAAGAACAATCTACCCTGGTGGATGAAATAAAGTGTTCAGTTCAAAATTCCAATCACCTGAAGAAAACTGGAGCATACAATGGCCGAAACAACATGAATATGGCAACAAAGATGACAACAACATTCTGAACAGTGTAAATAGCTTTTCCCATCATTTTTTTTTATCAGGTTTATAAAACTGTTAATGGTGGGTCCGAGTTGGTGTCACTGAGGAAGGTAACTCATCCAAACATTTCCCATATAATAACAATAGAGTAGTGAAAAGCTGTCAACATTTCCTCTTCAAGGTGATGAACAATTCATCACCCAAAAGTCAGCATAAGCACTTTTGAATTCTGTCATAGCTGGATAGTGAGGATTGGACAGCATCAGCCCAGATATGACAGCCATACACCATTTTTGGTCTGATGTGACTTTGTAAACTAGGTGCATGGTAACAGGATTCTCTGGAGCAGTGCAAGGGACCCATCATCCAGCATCTTTTGCAATTACATGAATATATGCATTCCATTTGCTGTTGGGTGTGAGCTTTATCCCCAGCTTCACAAAATTATATCTACACTACAGTTAGTGGTTGTTTGTCCCTCCAAATTCCTTATGGGATGTAGGGTAACACCCATACAAAATGATGTTAATTTCAATTTTAGTAGCAAGTGAATTTTTACAGGGCCAGGTTGCTAACTTAACACCCAAATTAGACTACAATAGTAAAAGCTAAAGGAAACCCAATAATTGTAAAAGCTTGACTAGTATTCTCCTGTTTACTTTGTATAGTTTGGCACAAGGACATGAGTATGAAGTACCCAATGAGGATCAAACTTACTACTCAACAGTAATCATAAACCAGTCCAGCTCATTAACCTACACTTAGGCACCCACTTGTCTGCTGTGCTAATTTGAACTTGAAACAAAAACAGCACAAGTAGGCTGTTTAATCACTACAGATTTTTTTTTAATCACAAGGAAGGCAATAATGGTACTAAGATGTAATGAGAAGACATTTACAAAGAGAAAGGACAATAAAAGAATGGGATTCAGAAAGACAGAAGATGGCAATTGAATTTTTAAATTTTTGAAGATTGTAGGTGGCAGGAAGCAAGAAACCAGAAGAAAGTTCCACAGGCAAGAAATCTGAGAGAAGAAATTATTATAAAAATAGAACTTACAGTTACATCTAGCTAGTGCAGCAGTAAAACAATGCGACCTAGTTGCCAATCTAGTAGTACACTTAAATTCATGCAATCACGATACCAAGGAGAAAATCTCATCAGAACAATTGCCATGAAAATATTTATAGAAAAGACATAAGGAAGCCATATCATGTTGGTGAGAAAGTGACAGATCCTTCTTTGGATTTTGTCAAGAAGAGGTAGGGGTGGGGGGAATGTATTCAAGTGAATTTGTGTGTGAATGAACATAATGAAACTGATTGTAATTGGAACTCATCTCTCCAATTTCCAATTCCAGGTCATTGTCCATTACACCACCTGCACATCTGAGCTTATAGCACCTGATATTCCCAAGCTGTTACCCATCTAGCTACTCATCATATGAGTGCTGGTGTTTCAACATGGTATAGCCATAAGCTCCTTTCATTCAAGATCTGAGTCTAGTGATTACTACAATAAGAACAGTTCTTATTCAACCCAAAGGAGATAACTCTGTATATACAATTACTAATGATTTTCAATTAGCATGATTGACCATGTACAGAAAACATTTTAATATTATTTACTTTGCCTTGGATTTGATATTTAATAGTCATGCAGTAGCAATGATTTATTTTACTAAAATATACAAAAAAGAAGTTTTACATTATTTACATTGTTCAAACTGTTGCCATATTCACAACATTTCGGCCGTTATATGCTCCAGCCTTCTTTAGGTTATATAAAATTTCAAACTGAACCCTTTATTTAGTCTACAAGGATAGATTGTTCTAATGTCACATGCTGTGCCTTTTTTTGGATATCTTAACTTCAGTTAATTCCCTTTAGTAATTCAACTCTTTTTGTTCATCTCTACTATGGCCAGGTATTGAACTCACAACTGTTTGGGTCAAGTCACTTCTTTGGATTACTTGACTAGCGCTTTTATCCACTAGGCCATGTGAATATGGCAATCTTTTCTTTTCAGCCTCAACAGAGTTCAAAAGCATTTATTCAGCCTTAGAGGCAATAAAATATTTTCCATCCTACAACCTCTTGCTGTACTATCTTTATTTCCATGGCAAATATTTTGATGAGATTCATTCCCTAGTTCTACCAGTTTTGACATTTACAGCTAAGACCCATCATGTCGTATACACAGTGGAGAAGCATCCTCAATCCCTTGGTAAGAAGTTTAATTTGGGCAATTTATTCCCAAGAGCCATTAATTTATAGGACAGACTCCTGAGAGGATGCTTCTCCAAACACTACAATTTTAGTTTCTTCATTTCCTTTTTCAGTAATCCTCTACCTTGAGTGACCCCTGGGCCTTGTATTGGGTGAACATTTAGTAAAAAAAAAAAAAATATCTATGGAATGGAAATTTTGTTTCCTGTTCTCTTGATGCAATTTTTATCAAAGGAAGTCTTTTAGCATCCAACACATCCAAAACCACCCCGTAAATATCAGCTCTTAATGCTCAACTCGCCATGACCCACTCCATGTATACTTTTCCATAATATGTGACCGCATCATCAGAAATAACAGAGGAAGTCATGTAAACAATGAGACCTTGAGAGCGGATATTTACAGGTAAGGATTTAGTGCGGTTAATTCAAATTTAATATCAACCAACACAACCTAAACTTATTTATAAAATATCCTCCTACTGTTTTAGTTGACCATTCTTGTGGGTCATATCAAGTGAGAGTTCTTCATTGGATGTGATGTTTTTCTCCATTTGCTATTAAAATTCATTGTTTTCCCTTTCCTTTTCAGTTACAAATTAAATATCTGGGATGTTGGAGGTCAAAAGTCACTGCGATCCTATTGGCGAAATTATTTTGAAAGTACAGATGGTCTCATTTGGGTAGTAGACAGTGCCGATCGAATGCGACTACAGGACTGCAAACAAGAACTGGATGCCTTGTTACTGGAAGAGGTTGGTTGATTATTGAAAAGTTTCTTTCCTTAAATTTGCCAAAATGTTACCTGTATCTTTTTTTTTCTGTCTTTCTCTTTATAAATATAAAAGTAGTCACTGAGATCAACACTGAAGGGCAACAGGCCTTGTACCTAATCTGACAGGCCTGAAAATTGTATTCATGCATGAAACACACTCGGTGTTGACCTCAGTGTCCACTTCTATATTTACATATACTCTATACTTGATATTGAGAACCTTTACTCAATAAATATAGCATATCTGAAAACTATATTTTTATCACTCTCACAGACACCTACAAACACATGTTTCTAAAGAAGTAATGGATTTTTTATTTATTAGTCTGACAGATTTTTATTGCTTTAAACGTTGTTTTTAGTGGATACTCATATTTGAGTAGATGTTCTGTTTATTTTAAACTGTATTTTATTTTTATATTCAGGCCAATAGGCAAAGTAAAATACTGTTTAAAATAAATGGAATGTCTACTCAAATATGGGTATCCACTAAAAATAACATAAAGTGATATATATGTTTGGTGCATAATTATCAAGCGTTTTTTAAATAATATTTATTATGAAAAAAGAAACAACAATTCAACAATATCATTTTTAAATGATTATTCTAGAGCGTATGATTATCAACACGCATTTTTATTAAAAAAAGTAAACAAAACAGCAATTTTTATTAACAAGTAACTCGCCTACAAAGACGCCTGATAATTTAGCACCAACCCAATATATATATATATATATATATATATATATATATAAATATATTGATCTACTAGGTCAGGTAAATCAGTATCACAAGGATATATGAGTAGACCATCATCAATATAATGGTAGTATGTTGATTGTTTGGGTAAAATATTTTGGAAAGGACCGGATTCAAGAAATTCTAAGAACATGCCATTGCTTCACTGAGATGCAATCCCATTGATAATCTGAATTCAGTTCATAACTTTCAAAAGGCATCCAGCTCTTTCAGAAATATCTAAACTGTCAGCTTTCTTTGTGCAAGTTAAGTTTGTGGATCTTGGCAAAGACCATCTTCCTTTAAGCATTGCGGACTGGCGTTACAGAATCATAAACAAAGAACTGTACCAGCTAACTGACACCATATCACTTAAGGACTTTCAACAGCAGCAACACCTAGAATGAATAGAAATGTAATTCAAAGATAAAATAATGACATAATCAAGATGCTGACCTTTCATACTACTTCAATTAAAAAGTTACCAAGGAAACCCCCATCAATACTGGGAAGAGCGATAACAGCTACTGGACTTGAGAAACCTGTTTTCCTGAAAAATTGTTTTAAGAAAGATTTTATAAATTTCAACCAAAGTCAGTATTGACTGACTGCTCAGTCAATGAATGCTGAATGTTTCCTCATAAAGAAACAGTTAATATTACCATTACTTAATGCTATCACACAGAGACCTGGTGAGAACAAAACTTTATACAGCACCAAATATGTGTTCAAATAATTGTAAATTAAAAAAAATTTTTATAAATTAAAACGGAAAAATCATGAATAGAAAACCTCTAGCTGCTGTCATTGTCAAGTTATTTGAAAATATCCTACCTTACAAAAATTCATTTTGGAAATTTCAGTTCACTTTTGTAACCTATTTTTCACACACACATTTATAGAAAGGGATGTTAAAAATCAAAAACAGTTACATTTTAGGTCATAGACCAAAAAGTCAACAAATGACTCAAAGATTAACATGTGAAAAATGATGGTTGCTACTGATATATGGTCTACAAATCTCATCCAAAACTCCCTATAGGTGAAGTCTTGGACAAAACATTTATAAAAATTGAATAAGGCCAATTTTAAAATTATTTCATTTTCTTAAAGGGTTTGCAGTAATCTTTCTTTTTTCTTTTTTTTTTCTTTTTTTTTTTTTCCAGGTTAAATGCCCCTTTTGACATTTTTCTTTTCTTTAACATCAATTCCAACTATTTATTTACAGAATTGGCTTTCTTCAAGTAAGCTTTACTTGCCATTTTTGTCTCTGCACTGGTCTGTATTTGGATTTAAAAACTGTTTATCATACTGTATGTCGAAAGGCATTAAAATGCTCAACATTTAGAAATACTAACGTAATGATTTTGATTATTAAACAATTATTGCTTCATTTCAGAGATTGGCTGGGGCAACATTATTAGTGTTTGCAAACAAACAAGATCTACCTGGTGCCCTAACTGCTGAAGAGATAAAAAATGTATGTAGACTTTTTACTTATCACTCCTCTGATCAACAGGCTTTGATGTTAATCATATTTTTGTCTAAATTTCTGATTGTCTTCGATATTCAAAAATGCATATGACATACCTGTTTCTCCCCATTAATGTGACTGGCTTTTCTTTTTGCATTTTTTTTATCCTAAAACATTCTTTGAAGCTTTGGTCATTAAAGCTCCTAAACACATTTATTTTTCAATATAATCTCTTTCTTTGTCAATGCACTTAATTCAGTAGTGAATATGTAAGAAAGTTGTAACCTACTGATGAAAAAAAGCATTTATAATGTAGAACTTTTTTTTTTTTTTTTCAGCATAATCTTTTTCTTTGTCAATGCACTTAATTCAGTAGTGGATATTAATTATGAAGATCAAACATTATACAAAGTGGTTTCTGAAAGTTCCCAAACTAAGATCTGACAGACTATAAGATCAATTGTTTGGCAACAGACCCCAGGGAGGAGTTTATTAATTCTTTTCTACATTTTCTGGTGCTAGTAAGTGATTGGCAATGGTAATATTAGCAGTTTCCTTATAAGGAAACCTTCAGCATTATTGACTGAGCAGTCAGTGATGTGGTTCCTATTATTTGATACAGTTCTTTGTGATTCTGTAGCGCCAGTCCACAAGCTTCAAAGCTTTGCTAAGACCTACAATCTTCATTTGCTCAAAGCCATTTATAATCATTAATCTCTGAGAAAGCTGTTGTTTCTGGTTGACCGTTTAGATATTTCTGAATGATTTTGATGCCATGGATGACATCCATATTAAAGTTTTGATCTGACGAGACTATTTAAGAACATGACTTGAGTTTTTAGGTTAATGTTTTGGTTTTATAGCAACTTGTGATATTGGGCAAAACTACCCTTAACACACCCTATTCTGTGTTCAATTTTCTTTCTCTCCTATACTAAATTTTTTTATAACTGATCCATACACCAAGATATTTGAAATGTTTTGCATTTACTAATTCCACCACCTGAATTTTTATGATGTATTCAGTATATATGCCATCATTTTAATTTCAGATCATAGTTTCTGTTTTGGAAAGGTTTATTTTGAATCCTGTTTTTTGAAGGCGATAAAGCCACTAAGATGCAAGAGGTTACTGAGAGTGAAAGAAACTGAGAAAAATGTTATTGAGGGGAAAGGACAAAAAGAACAGAATCCAAGGAGACAGATGATGATTGATGTTGCATTTAAATTTTTGAAGATTTTAGTGGACAGGAAAGTAAGATCCAGCCAAAGACTGTTTCATAGGTGAGAAGTGTTAAAGAAGAAACTATTAGAGTAGAACTTACATCTAGCAAATATTTTGTGTCAGTTTTTTTTTTTTTTTTTCAATGTCAAATAAATCCCCCCAAAATTTACTTTCATTGGTGATCCAGAGATTGACCAGCACTTGTATCTAAAATGTCTATTCTATCTAACAGCCAAATGGTGGAATTTTGGCGCCTTAAGCCAAACATCCATTTTGTTCAAATAGCCCACTGGCATTTTATTTAAATGCAGATACAAATGTTAAAATAAAACACCTGAAATCAAACAATTGGCTTTGAAAATAATGTGCATAAAGTCAATTCATCCAGAAAACATTGGTTCTCATTCATTCACTGAAGTTAAGCAGTCTCAAGTCTGGGCAGTACTTAGCTGGGGGACCGCTTTGTAACACCAGTTACTGTAAGCAACCTTCTACAATCTAAAATATGCTTCAGCTTTAAATAACCCAGAAAGGGTTGATAAACTGTAAAAAAAAAAAAAAATACAACAATCAATTGAAAATAATGTAAAGATTTGAATAGTGTGAAAAAGAAAAACAAGATTCAGTGTAAAAATTTAAACTTTTTTTGCTTTTTATTTTATTTTTGCTCTTTTTAATAATTTTTTCTTTCTGTCTTTTTTAGGCTTTGGAGTTGTCAAATATCAAGACACACCATTGGTTAATCCTTGACTGTAGTGCAGTGAGTGGCGAGAATTTATTGCAAGGAATGGACTGGTTAATAGATGATATTGCTTCCCGAATATTTACAATGGACTAAAACTTTGAAAGTAAACTATTTAAACAACATTAATTAAAGAATAATAAATTATAATAATTAATTTAGTGCTTCTTTTTTTTTGTTGAATTTAAATTCTGTGATCTACTTTCAGACTAAATATGCATGAACCATTTTTGCTTTTTTCAAGCAAAATTATACAAATAATAGCCTAATTCTATCAGTACTGCTGGCACTCCTTCCTGACTACCGACAATCCCTTTCTTCCTGATTTTCAATGCATTCCTATAGTAAAATCATTAGCAATTCATTTACATTATACATATAATAGCCTTATTCTATCAGTAATGCTTGCATTCATTCCTGACCACTGACGATCCCTTTCTTCCTGATTTTCAATGCATTCCTATAGTAAAATCATTAGCAATTCATTTACATTATACATATAATAGCCTTATTCTATCAGTAATGCTTGCATTCATTCCTGACCACTGACGATCCCTTTCTTCCTGATTTTCAATGCATTCCTATAGTAAAATCATTAGCAATTCATTTACATTATACATATAATAGCCCTATTCTATCAGTAATGCTTGCATTTATTCCTGACCACTGACAATCCCTTTCTTCCCGATTTTCAATGCATTCCTATAGTAAAATCATTAGCAATTCATTTACATTATACATATAATAACCCTATTCTATCATATAATGCTTGCATTCATTCCTGACCACTGACAATCCCTTTATTCCTGATTTTCAATGCATTCCTATAGTAAAATCATTAGCAATTCATTTACATTATACATATAATAGCCCTATTCTATCAGTAATACTTGCATTCATTCCTGACCACTGACAATCCCTTTCTGTGCTTATTATTATTATTGTACTTTACTCTTTCATAGAGTCAGTCTTTTCACTTTCCAGTTTTATAAACATCCTGAAATAGTCCATCAGTGTCATAACAAAGACATTTTTTTACTTGATGTTTCACCAGTGCTAGGGGAAATTCTAGTTACCTCCCTTCCACTGATTAAGTAGTTTAACCTCCAAATAATATTAAATTATTATTTTGTTAAGTCCTTACTGTTATTATATTATCATATGTGAATCTTTAAATGTTTTCTCCAATTATAGCTGTGCTCTGCTCTTTTATGAAGTTGGCATTTCCATCTCGAAGTTTAAATGTCTTGGATAAATGTACCATTGTCATTTGTGAAGACATTGCCAGCTGACCTTCTAGTGAAAGGAAAAAAAACCTTATACAGACAAACCTTGTCTACAGATCTCCCATCAATGGCCTTTGGTTGCAACAGACAAAATCTGCAGGCAAAATAAAAATAAGTCTGTTGGGGAAAAAAGTCCCAAATTGTCAGCAATGTAATTCAAAATTTGCATCTTGGCAGAACAAATGGTGTTAGTTCTCAAAGTGGCGGTCCTTTTAATTCTAAACAAAGACGGGTGTACAGTAAATAAAGTACGAACATTAGCGTAGCTGTGAGAAATCTATTATTTTTATTAATATATCTATATTAAGTATATATTTATTTATGCTATATATACATGTTTATAGTATTTACATTATGATCATAACTACTAGTTTTATTGTTTTATAACTCAAAAATAATCCATTCCCATCTACAGCTTTAACAGACCACTCCTTCTAATATTAGATGTGAGGTTTGTCTGTATAGCAAAAATAGGCATTACAGACCATAGTGCTTTAATTGCAAAGTCATCCATGATAAATTTGCTTCCAGATTCTTACAACATTGCACCTTTATTGGCTGATCTTTTATTATCACAATGCGGGATACTTTTTATAATAAAGTGATGAAAAAAAAGCATAAGAAAACTGAATTAAATCAGTTCAACTATATGCCCAGATATGAATAAAAGATTCAGCATTCCAAAATCTTCAGCATTTCCTCTCAGTGCATAATTATAACTAATACTTTCAGTTTTATATCTCCTCCTCCAACATATATATATATATATATATATATATATAATTCCATCAACAAAAAAAACATTACTTTAATCCAGGTTTGTCCAACATTTTTTTCTAATAGGACGAAATTATAAATTTAGATATATTCACCGGGCCACAAAAAATAAATTTGCTTTTAAAAAGTTTAAAACATGAATATTAAATTTTAATATATGTATAACACTATTTACATTATTCAGGCTATTGTCCTTGTCTTTGTCACCATATTTATTACAACGTTTTGGCCGTTGTATGCTCCGGCCTTCTTCAGGTGGTTGGAATGTCGAACTGAACCCTTTATTTTGCTCACTGGGGTAGATTGTTTTATTTCCATGTGCCATGTTTAATGGATGTCAGTTATCGCTTGTTAATTCCCCTCTCCAAGTTCTCAACTGCCTTAACCGGGTATTGAACTCACACTCTTTGGGTCCTGTCACTGGATCTAACCAATGCCTTAAGCCACTATAATTATAAAAAAATACTGTTGACAGTAAAAAAAAAGAAAGAAATTATACATACACAAAATAAAATAAATTCAATGTGATTTTTGACATTGCTTTCCTTTTATAATATTGTTAATATTTGCTTTTATGGTATTAGTCTTTATTCTAAGAATGCTAGTTAAATGGAAATCACTTGACCTATTTCTTTCAGCAGGTTTTGATGTTTTTCATCCATGAAAAGAATTGTTCATAGTAGGATGTACTACCCCACACACATAACATTTTTCTAGATAAGTTAAATAAATTTTATTTAGCTCTGGCTCTTGCCCCACACACCAGCCAGTGTGTCTCAGCAAAGGCCTTTGTCTGCTTCCCCTTTTAGTGCAATGGGGAAGTGAACCTATTAGCACAATCTGAGAATAATTTTCTTGACATTCTTTACTAAAGTAAGTGAAAATATACCTAAAGATGTCAGTGTTGTAGGCAAATGTTATTAGCTGGCATTTTTTTTTTTAATGTTACATTCTGTAACCCTCTACCTCTAGTGGCTCTTGGATCTTATACAGGGTGAAAAACATTGGGAAAAAATTATTTAAAAGTACTCTAACAAAATGGTCCAAAGTGTATGTTATTTTTTTTTTGTGCATGCACCCCTCTGTACATTAAAAAAGTAATTAGGAAAGAGAGTTAAAAAGACAGATACATCCTGAAGGAGGTGTGTTTAAATCAAAAGCAAACATTGGCTGAATATCTGTGGAAGCAGGACTTTATTCAGCCAGTCTTTGTTTTGGATATAAGTACGCCTCCTTTGGGATGCATCAGTGTCATTTTTTATGTTGGCGTTTACTCTAAAGATTTATTGTTGCAGCCTGTGGCTAAGTTTCTGCGAACAATGTGACTCTTCATATTTTTTTACCTATATGGACCTGGCCTATGGCAAGCACTACTAATTTCAGACGTGACAAGTCATACAGGGATTCCTATTTTACAATAAAGTCAAAATTATAATATAGTAAAAAGATCTGAGAAAATTTCATGGTTTTCCTGTTTTAACATTCTGATGAATATTAATTCTTAAGTTAATGATTGAGTAAACTCATGGCAAGTTCGATGGCAATAAAATATCCATAGAAATTCCCTTATCGTATCATTAGATATTTGATCTTAACAACTTGACAACAATTTTCCATTTCACTAAAATGGACATTAAACACTTGTATCTTCCCTTTCTTTCTTTTATTAATTTTCTTACTTAAAAGTAAGTAGTGTTTCTGATATGTTTTGTTTATTGAAATAGAATAATCCATTATTTATGAGGTATTGGCAGATGACGTTAAACACTTCTATCTTCCCTTCTTTCTTTCTTTCTTCCTTCTCACTGAAACCAAGTAGTGTCTTTTCCCTTCTTTTTATGTGATCAAAAAGAAATAGTCCATTTTTTATGAGGTATTGACAGGGCATAATGGTTGTGCAAAATAATGAATAGAGGGTAAAGCACAATTATAATAAGACATATAATTACTTTCAACGTTATTTTTAGTGGATACTCATGTTTGAGTAGATGCTCCATTTATTTATTAAACAGTGTATTTAATTTAATTTACTAGTCTAAATAATCAAGAAATCTTATTAAAGAAATATATGTGCTATCTAGAAGGATACAAACCTGCATTCCCCTGCATTAGATGCAATATGCTGTAGCTGACTCAGCTACAAAGAACTTTCGCCAATCAAGGCTGAATAGTGCTTTTAAGTGAAATTCTTCTCATCATAGATTATCACAATTTTCATATCTGTTCAGTTAAATAAATACAGTTTAATAAATAAACAGAGCGTCTACGCAAATATGGCTATCCACCAAAAATAATGTTTAAAGTGCCAAAAGCTATCAGATCAAAAATTAAAAAATCCATTTTATATATATATATATATATATATATATTGAGGCTGGTAGACAAAAATAAAGAAATACACTGTTTAATAAATAAATTTGAGAGTCTACTCAAATACAAATATCCACTAAAAATAATGTTTAAAGTGATAAAAATCTGTCGGATTAATAAAAATCCATTCTAAAAATGCTCTTTCCTTACATTTGGATACAAAACCGTGCAGATATGAAAAACTTTGACAGATTCTATGAAGGAAAGAATTTCACTTGAAGGCACTAAATTTGGCCTCGACATACTGACTGCTCTTTGTGGTCTAGTTTGTTACAGTGTACCAGGTTTTAACGGTAACTTCATCTGCCTTGTCGGACACAAGTTCAAATCCTGCTAGAGAGAGCAAATTTTTCTACACATGTTCAAGAATCCTTGAACGTTCAGGCCAGTAGGCAAAAATAAATAAATTACTGTTTAATAAATAAATGGAATGTCTATTCAAATACAAGTATCCACTAAAAATAAAGTTTAGTATGTGTGTGTGTGTATATATATATATATATATATATATATCCAAATGTAAAAGAATGAAAAGTAAGATTTCAGCATTTAAAATAGAGCTCAATACAAAAGTAGAGCCGTATATATTTATTTATTATACAGTGTTTATTTCTCTTCTCCCTCTCGCTGTTACTAATCACTTACATTCCTTTCTTTCTCCAC